AAAATAAAGTTTTTCGATATTCATTAACAATTCGTAGCCTAACCAGGAAGTCATGGGTAATAGGAAGTGTTTTTACGGTCTTGAGAGAGATCCATGAAATATAGTGTGAACAATAGTAATTATTATGTTTTTCTTTTTTTTTTTGGTGATAGAGCAGCGCTCGATCTAGTCCACTCTTGATTATACTCTTATTAACGATGAAAAAGTCATCACCGTGTTGTGATATAGGTTATAGTAGGCACCATTTTGTGATTAATCACATGTCTATGGTTATACTTGCCGTTTCCATCGTTTTGTTGAATATGTAGCGGTGTCGACGAGAATATTTTCAATATTGAATAGAATTAAAAGCAACAGACGATTGATTCGATCTATTCATAACTATGATAGCCGATTTAATCTAGATTTTTGCTGTTTTGTGCTTTCTAAAACATAATCTCATCATATATAAACAGAGTACTCCGATAATTATTATATCCATAAGAATGCCTTAGCAATGAATCGGAAGAGTAAATTATTTGCCTTAAAGCATTTTTCATATGTGATCGAAAAATTGATCATCGTTATAATTTATTATCTTATCGTAAGGAAATGCAAGTCAAAAAGCATATTATTAATATCTATATGCATGACAAACTTAATAAATAGAATCATATAATAAGAGTTCATAAACAAAATTGTGTTTTTCGTGAATATGTTTTAAATGAACTTTAGCTAAGCTTTTTTGTAATAGTTTAAGGTTTGTTATTCATTTGAATATGTTCATTGTACTTTGAAAAGAATAAACTATTGTTATGTGGTTCAAGTCATTTCACATGCAGAAGAATTCCTTGATAGAATCAGAAACAATCTACACTTAGTACAATGTTTCAAATATCGAACACAACAACGGGTCTTTCATTGTTAATTTATAAATCTATTTTATCTGATCAATATTCTAAAGTGGTTACTGCTTTTGTTTTTGTCTCATTTTTTTCTCTGAATTTAGTTGTTCGGTGACAATACTAAAGATGAAGATATGTTACATTGAAATCTGTGCATCTATCTGAGATTGAAAATATTTCAAAGTAGTATTTTGACTTGGACCAGAAATTTCCGCAGTGATTTACTGGTTTTTCTTTTTCTATCGATTAGCTGTTAGTTCACTGTTGATGTTTCATGAATGAAGTGGTGGCGTAATCTAATAAAAACGATAGAAAGCCGGCTCAACTCCTACTGGAGTTATGAAACTCGGAAGAAAATGGTAGTTTATTGGAAAGAGCAGCTGTTATGTGAAAAAAAAAGATTTGAGAAGTCAGTTCGACCTAGTATAACCTCTCTTTTTTTACATTGCTGTTGAGGCATAATAAAAAAAAAAATGACTTTCATTAGAGTGTGAAAACCGCCCGGTCGTGATGTATTATTGGTTCAGTGCCCTTTTTCAATGGATATCAACCGTTCCTAAGGGCATGCAATTATTATCAGCATATTCTCTATTCAAAAAAACCATCGTTTCAAAGGAAATAAAAATATTTTATTCAATTAGTTTTTAAGTATATTAAAACATTTCGAATAATCGAATGTGTCAAATTTCTTTGAAATTTTAAATTGAAAATTAATTAAATTAAAATGAAATTTTTATTTTCGAATTTTTGATTTATATAGAGGGCGCCGTTAATGATGACTAAATCATGTTTCATGATTGAATGATTCATTGATGGATAAATATTATTATTATTATTATTATTAAATAGTCTTTATTCTTAAGGTTTCTATGTAAATAACTTAAGAAATTATCATTTTTATTAGTAAAATGGCCATATCAAATGAAATATTTTCTTTTAAAATTCTTATTATTGGTGAATCAAGTGTTGGAAAGGTTTAAATTTTTATTATTTTATTTTAATAAAATAATTTTCATCATTTTAATTTTCTTTCTAGAGTAGTTTGATGACTCGTTTTGTTGATGATACATTTCAATCAGCATTTGTATCAACAATTGGTGTTGATTTTAAAGTTCGAACATTGATGATTGATGAGCATCCATGTCAAGTTCAAATTTGGTTAGTTATTTATTTAATTCGAAATTCATTTAGTATTTTCAAATCAATAATTCAAATTTGTTTGTTTATTATTTAAAAATAAGAACACCCTTCGGCTATTTAAATTAATACATGCAAAAAGAAAGCATGCTTAATTCGTACCTATTATTATGTTTTGGAATGATTACGTATGCAATTCCATAATGTTCAGGTTGAAGAGAAATATAACAGTTGACATTGATGATATGTAGGAAGGGCGTATTTCATACTTACACAATATCAAGTTTTTTAAAGTCACTTTTCTTAAATCAATGAAACATTGACGACTACTATCAAAAAGTTTATCCCGGGTTCACACCATTTTTATCTTTACTGCATTTGACTTTACAATAAATTAGTTCTATGATATCAAAAATTCCCTAATTGTATTTCGAAATTCTTAATTTTTACATCTAATATTACTATTTGCATTCGATTAGTCAAAACTTCAAATTTGGATTTTTTCAATGAAAGTTGGTAGATTCAATGAATTAATATATAAACGAAGAAATTTCAACAAATATTATATCACTTTCTAGATGAATCGTATTTTATTTAAAATTATGTTATTGAGTAGTAGTACAGCTAGAAAAAAGTAGCAACTGAGGAGTATGCTCCCCGTAGCTTCTGTCTGGTTACGTCACTATAATTGGGATTAAGGCAGGTTGAAAAGAAATCTCAGGTTTTCTAGTATTTTCTATTGATAAAATATAAATGTGAGAAAAAAGCTAGTTTTTGAAAAATAGAATTTTCAATATTGGTATTTTAGGCTACTAGAAAATCTGCTACACTCACAATGAATTAATTCTATTGAGATATTTTTTTGTGCAAATTTTGATTTTAGGAGAACCATGACTTTTTGTTTGAAAACGTCACTAGAATGATCATAAGATAGGAAGAGAAAGCTTATTAGTCTAGCTTCTTCAGAATGAAAATATGGAATGCATATGTATTTTTTAGTATCATTATATTAATACAACACACGTAAAGTGAAAATTTCTAGCAGACTATAGCTGTTTTTCAAGGATAATCGATCTCCAAAGAAACGATCTGTCTTATATATTGTTGGATTTTTAACAGAAAATTTTGCAATTTTTTTGATTACCTCTTTGATATTCGCTCATTGTTTTTTATTGTCATATTCCGCTATTCTTCATTTAACTGGCAAATAGACCTATTGTAGATATCCATTTTCGGTGGAAAAATAAAAAACTGCATTTTTCAAGACATTGATAAATGTATTCCAGTCATTCAAATTTTGAGAAAGTCATTGGAATATTCCAGAACAGTCTAAATATTGTAGTTAATGTCTTTCTTCTCTTCCACATCTCTCAGCAATGAAGGAGGAAGCTGACAAACTTCAAGTTAAAACTTAGGCTCACCAGGGAAGGTCCCCAACTGATCAATCGCTTTTGCGTCGAGACCATGTGCATTATGTAGGTACAAATGAGCTATGAATATCCTGAAAAAAGTTCGGGCTGCTAGCTTGTTGGTACGAAGATACTGCACGTTTCCGGTATGTTTTTAAATGAATGCCGTGGTCCCCTCAGGAACACCAGAAAAAATGATTTTCAAATTTCGACTGGAAACTTTACGTAGAAACAGACATTACCTAGAATAGTATTTTGTGAAGGTTTCAGGTCTTTTGATTTGTTCATATCCTGAAATGAGAGAATCAAATCTTCGGATTTATCCGAATGAAGATATCACATCTGTATCTACGGATAGCAGCAGCAAAAAAGTCTGAAACTTTCACAAAACACTATTCTCGGTAATGTCTGTTTCTACGTAAAGTTTCAAGTCGAAATTTGAAAATCATTTTTTCTGGCGTTCCTGAGGGGGACCACGGCATTCATTTAAAAACATACCGGAAACGTGCAGTATCTTCGTACCAACAAGCTAGCAGCCCGAACTTTTTTCAGGATATTCATAGCTCATTTGTACCTACATAATGCACATGGTCTCAACGCAAAAGCGATTGATCAGTTGGGGACCTTCCCTCGTCAGTATATTTTTCTTCAAAAAACATACTGTGAATTCTACAAAATCCATGTTAAGGAATTCTTTTTAGTTTTCTCAAGTCAATTATTCATCCTGAGATTTCTCATTAGAAAAATGAATCAATCCTGAGTACATATTAAATCTATAGACCATACTCAAAGTCTAAAACTCATTAAACTGTATTCTTTTAAATATTCTAGGGATACTGCTGGACAAGAACGATTTCGTGTAATAACTACAACTGTAAATAATATAAAAAAAAAATTTCTTTCATCTATTCTTTTTCGTTTTGTTTTTCTTTAAGTATTATCGCGATGCATCTGGTGTTTTGATTGTTTATGATGTAACAAATGCTGAATCATTTTCTCGTATTCGTCGTTGGATTGAAGAAATAAATAAATACTGTGATGAAAATATACCTAAAGTACTTATTGGCAATAAAGATGATATTGTACCACTAAATGATACATTAATAAACAAAGAAGTATCAACTATAGAAGCTGGAAACTATGCTCATGAAATGAATTTACCATTTTTTGAAACATCAGCAAAAGATAATAAAAATGTTACTGAAGCTTTTTATGCTATTACACGTTTAGCATTACATCAACGTTTACAACGACCCAATATACCTAATCTTACACATCATAGTGATTTAGGAAATGGTGCACTCTCATCGGAGGGTATTCGATTAAAAGGATCGAAGAAAAAAGATAAGAAACATACTGGAACATGTTGCAAATAAAGATATATTTTTCATACATTCCTCATTTTAATTTTCTCATTATAAATCTCTTTAGTTTTTTTTTGTTCTCGCTTTTTTTTCAAAGTTCTGTTTTATACTTTATTTATTATAAAATTAGAATAAATAAGATAATTCAAAACAACAAAATAAATCATACAAAATCTTTATTTCATTTTATCTTTTGTTTTATATAAATGACAACAAATCTTGAACCTATTCAAACATTTAAAATCCTTATTCTTGGAGATTCAGGTGTTGGTAAAAGTTCATTAATGGCTCGATATGTTCATGGTATTTTTCACAGTGAATATACTGCAACTATTGGTGTAGATTTTCAAATAGCTATTATTAATATTGGTGAATATAAATGTCGATTACAAATATGGTGTGTTTCATTTACTCAAAATTCTCAGAGATTTTATTAGTTTAAAGTATTTTTTTTTATAGTCTATCGAAGTATGAATTGTCGAATGAGTTCTAAAATCTTTTATTATTTGAAAAGAACATGAATCCTATCCGGATTGTATAATAAGGTCTGCTTGGAACAGCATGAATTGACTATATTAACAATTTTATTTCTTTTTTTTTCTAATTTTTAATCTTACATTAATTAAATTTATTAAAAAGATATAAAATAGTACTAAATTACTTTGTTTTTTTTTAGGGATACTGCTGGACAAGAACGTTTTCGTTCGATTACAAGTAAATCAATCAATCATGTCAATTGAATAAAATATTGTTAATGATTTTCTTTTTCTATCAATAGGTAGTTATTATCGTGGTGCTGATGGTATAATTATTGTTTATGATGTATGTTGTATTTTTGTTTTTTCATAATTAAATTTAATAATTATTTTTCATTTTTAATTCAAAGGTTACAGACAGTAAGAGTTTCACTAATTTAAAAGATCGATTTGCAGACGTACAAAATTTGTGTGAAACAAATATTCCAAAAATTCTTGTTGGTAATAAAGATGATAGAAATAATAACGTAAAAAAAGTTGTGCTAACTAGTGATGCACGTCAATATGCTGAACAAAATAATTTATTATTTTTTGAAATATCAGTAAAAGAAAATAGAAATATTACTGAAGTATTTGATGAAATAGCTAAACTTGCACTTCAACGACGTCTTAAACAATCTGAAAGTACACAATTTAGTACGGTTGATATAAGAATACAAGAAAAACAAATTATTGATAATGATACAAAAAAAAAATGTTGTACTACTGCATAAAATATTAAATTTAATTTTTCATAATATTTTCATATTGAATGTGAGATTGTTTTTCTTTTTTTAATGAACTCATTTCTGAATAATTTTTTTTAATGATTTTTGTTTTATTTATGAATTCTGTGAACTTTTTATCAGTTTGTTTTAATAATTAATGCTTGTTATTTTTATATTCTTTTCAATTAATGAACAATAATAAGGAAGTTAAAATACATTGCTGAGGACATTTCTCAGTATGCATTTTGACAGTAATATACATTTTATTAATGAAGAATAATGAACAATACGTTAATAATGCTTTTCTAATTTAAATAGACTTTTTTTTTAATGATTCAATGCTTAATTAATGATGATGCATTTATCTAGGCATAGTCATCATTCTTTAACATAGATGTTGTCACGCAGCGATGGAAAAAGTTCAGTTGACTTCTTTTTTTCTAAATTGGTGGGATTTAGACAAGCATGCAGACATGTAAATCAAGAGAAGAAAACGAAAAAGAAGAAGATATTATAAGTTGCAACGAAATTATTCATATATGTTCTTGTATATTGTCATCGAAGAAAAACACAATGTAAACAAACTGATTCTATCGTTTTGATATACAAAAAAAAACATTTAATTCGTGATCAATTAATTAAATTGAGTATAATAGACTATGAATATGTCTGTATTATTAACACGAAAATCATGGATTTATATTTACGTTTATAAGAAACTCTTCTCCCGTTTCCTTTCTTTTTGTTTAATAGAAAACGTCTATGGTTCTTTTATATCGCAGTAAATAAATGTTCCTGAGCACTTGATGAACATTTCTCTATTTTTAATTCGTAACAATTACAGAACTATTCTTGCAAAAATACAGCTCATCGGTATATATTTTCAAAATTAAAAAGATGCAGAGATTTTTTTTAGCTTTCCTCGTCATTAATTAACAACTCACAGGCCTGAAAACTAGATGTACATTCAAACTAAATATACACATTAAAGTTACATGTTGTAATTGACCAAATAAATAAGAGAAGTGTAATAAGTGAAAAAATTCTGATGGCAATCATTAAAAATAAAACGAACCAATTAAAATAAATTTCATAACACTAGTTGCACTTAATAGAATTCAAAATTCGTCGTCATTTACTATGATATAAACATAACTGGAAAAATACTTTCAAACAAAAGCATTTAAAATATGATTATTCTTAAGAATACCTTCAAAATAATAGAAAAAAAAATGATTTAATCCTTCATTATATAAAAATACAATATATAATAAGATAAGTCGTGTTGATTTCAATAGAATTTTCATCTCTTCTAAATAAAATCCATCAAGATTGATGATGCATAATAATGATAATGATGCGAAAAGTATTTTTCTTTTCTTTTCTATCTTTTTTTTCTTACATTTAATCTTTCATAGTATTCATTGCATTAAAGATGAAGAATATTTGAATGACTTATGCTAAGAAGAATTTTATTAACATCATAGAAAATAAGTTGTTAAAACAAAATGAATTGCACTCCTTTAACATGGTCATCAAGTACAGCTGATAATCTTAGTCCTACTATTATCGTTTGTTCAATTGCTCTTATTATTCATATTATATTTTGGATTCAACTTATACCATTTTCATCATTAAGAAAAAAAAATTTGATGTGGTTATATGCATATTTAATAACGGATTTCTTTCTTTTAGCACGATTTTTTATTTTATATAGTATGCGTCGTTGGCGTGTATGTTTATATTCAACATTACGGATAGTTTTATGTTATTGGGAAGCATCATCAAAATTTTATATGAATACAGTACAAAGTTATATTTTATTAGCATTAAATATATGTCGTTGTGCACAGATTATTTTTAATCGAAATGTTTTTGTACAAAATCCTCGTTTAATTACATTAACACATTTTTTAATTTATATATTACCAGCATTAAATGTTATGATACAATTTCTTGCTGATTGGACTACATTATGGCGTAGAACAGGTGAAGCTTGTGATATACAATATGAATCATTATCTGTACAGATATTTAATTTATTCTTTGTCTATATTATTCCAATTGCTTTTAATTTTATTATTATTGGATTTTGTATTCGTCATGTAAGTTCAATAAGAGATATTCGTAGTCAACAAATAATTAATCTTCGTCGTAAATATAAAAAAAATCTTTTAATTCAAACAATTATATTTTATTCAATTTGGCTTGTATTATGGAGTCCAAATGTACTTGCTTTTCAATTTATAAATATCAATACTCAATCTGGTATATATACTTCATTACTTAATTATATAGAAATAGCAGTAGATCCAATTCTTTTTTCTGCGATCGATGTTCGATTTTTTCATTCATGGCAAACAATATGCCGTAAAATTAAACAATGTCGACAAAGAACTGTTGTTCCTACAGTACCAATTGTTCCCAAACAAAAATATTGACAGTGTCTATATTCATAAAATATTATCATTAGTCTAAGATTTTCATTATATTAATTAGTGTTTTTTTTTCCTGTATTATAGTTAAATATTGATTTCTTGTGTTGTTGCCATAAGATTTATAATAATCTTATGTCGAATGTCTTTTTTTAACTGAACATAAAAGCCACTAGGTCAAAAATAGCTTTTTTTTGACTTCTCTTCTAGTTTCATGATAAAATATTTGTTGAGAAAGATCTTAGTTGTTTAAATGCACCATCTTGTTTTTCTATTCAATCACAATTCATTAACTACGTGTATGAAAAGAAGAAATGAAAGCATACTCAGATGAAACACACCTTTGTTGAATTCTAAAGCATTTTTGGAAGTGCTTGACAAGATCTGAATATTGAATCCCTCATTACGACTATAAATTCGATAAGAAAAGCAAAATATATATCTACAGTTCATATACTTCATTCATTCTCAAATGAGACCCCATGTGATTCAAACGGAACTCAAGCCGCTGGTATACCGTTTATCCTCCGGCAGTACTGCAAATCAACTAGTGACAAAGGTGGAAAAAAACTTGTAGAGGAACTCAAAGGTGTTTGAGTTCATTATAGAAACTCGTTGACTTCGTCAATTAAACGAAGATATTATATTGAGCATCATTGACTTTCTATAATTAATACTTTAAAATTGCTATTAAAACTCATTTAACATCAAAATTTTTTGGAAATCCATAACAAGCATTCAAATGTGTAAATGTGTATTATTGACTCTTATCTTCCTGCTATCTAAATCAATGTAGACAAGTGACATCTATTGGTGGTTTGATATAATTCTTTTGATTGAAATAAAAAATTATTCATGATATTTTCAAAATTTTTTAAAGAAAAAAATTTGTTTGAATATATATTTAAATGTATCGTTCGTTGTTTATCCAATAACAATATGGTCATTGTCGATTCATTGTTAAAGCAATACCTTTTTTTTTTTTTTTTTACACTTTGATTATCCATAGGTATATCTATGTCGATAGTTTTATATAATTACACAACATCTTTTTATTGTATATGTCTTGATTTTGAAATGATATATTCGCATTTCAATTAATCTTGATTATAATTTTTTTGGATATTTTCAAGAAAATAGAAGCGTTGAATTTGTTAGTCGTATAAGTTAGCGATCTTGAAAAACTATTAATAAATCTATTTTCTTATTTAGAATTATTGATTTCTATTTCAGATTACATTTGTTTGTGTTTTTCTTTTCATTCTATTAGAAATTATCAATCATGTCACTTATTTGTTCTCGTATATTATTTTTTCTTTCTTAATTATATTAATTACTAATTATTCAAATTATTTTTAGTTTCAAATGAAGTTCCAGAACATCCAGTTCTTTCACCTGCATCTGGTTGTATTTATGAAAAACGTTTAATTATTAAATATCTTCATGAATCTCCAACAGATCCAATTAATGGACAACCATTAACAGAAGAACAATTGATTGATGTTAAAGGTATACACAACTAATTACATAGAATTTTTTTATTTATTTTTTATTAAATATTTAAGTTACACCATTAAGTAAACCAAAGCCACCATCAGCTACAAGTATTCCAGCTATACTTAAAATGTTACAAGATGAATGGGATGCTTGTATGTTACATAGTTTTACACTTCGTCAACAATTACAAACAGCACGACAAGGTTTGTTATTAATTATATATAAGAAAAAACAAAAAAAAATTTTCTATTTAAATTAGAACTTTCACATGTAATGTATCAACATGATGCTGCTTGTCGTGTTATTGCACGTTTAAATAAAGAAGTAACAGCTGCTCGTGAAGCTTTAGCTACACTTAAACCACAAGCTGGTATTTCACAAACAATACCAATGGTATGTATAGATTTTAATTTGGGTTCCGATAAGTCCTATATTTCGTGAAAACAAGTGGAAAAATTTTACGAGATTTGACTTTCCCGGAGGGGTACTACAGTGATCTTCGCGGCGCTATCCCGCCCCCTCCCGCCGGTGATCACTTTTTACGAAAAAACCAGATAATGTGAATAGCTGTTTCTTGCAGGTAAAGCACATACATTTGAGATGTGGTTCGCCGTAAAATACCTAAATTTTGGTCAATTTTTTTTAATGAAAATAATCGTATAATTCAGAAAATAAAATTCTATATAGGAATTCCTATAATTTCGAAAATTTGTAATCGGAGGCCAGATTTTAATTCCTTAAAGAACATTTCTCTCATATGTGATAACAATATTAGATCGTATTTTTTTGTCTTCTCTAATGTCTAGCCGTTTTTTTGGTTATTTGGATTAACAATCGTTAAGCCATTAGCGCAATTTTTGTAAGATCAAAATGTGAAATATGACGTAGTTGTTGTTGCTAATCATATGAGAATCATTTTATTCTGTCTATTTTGCAACACATTACTTTTACAATGTTTTTATCGAACTCTTCAGATATGAAATAAGGAAGTACTTAATATATTATAACGACACGTTATTAAGATTGTCAATATTTCTTTAGAAGTGTTGAACGAAGTCTACCGTGATTTGACCTTTTTTTTTTTCAAAACCAAGTTCCTATCTAAAGTTACTATGACACTGTGAAACATAAAGCCGAAAGAGAGAGGAAGAAGGCTCTTTTGATCGCGAACTGTGGTCATTATTGAGATATAATTGTTCACTAGCGTTTGTGAAGGATGATGTTTAAATTTTTAGTCCTATATTCAGATTAAAGAAAATGTTCAATACTTCTGTTGGAATTTGTTTTATAAAATGTGATCTAATATTACCATCCCATATCATAACGCACAGCTCTTATTGAAATTTTATTATGAGAATATTAAATATAAGAAAAATGTTTAGTGTTGTTTTTACTATCAGATCAAAGAGAGAGAGAGAGAAATATTTTCTTTAATAACGAGTTGAAACACTTTCATTACTAATTTTTGTATATAATAAATAAATTTTTATTAGCATCCACATGAACAATCGACACAAATTTCACAACATGCAGCAGCTAGTATTAGTGGTGATAGTACTCAAATATCAGCATCAACAGCTGAAGGAATGACGGATGAAATCATTCAAAAAGTAAATAAAATAAATTATTTCATACTTAAAAATTTTAAATTAATATTTCATTAGTTACAAGATAAAGCATCTGTATTAACACAATTACGTAAACAACGTGGTAAACGTGTACCAGAAGGTTTAACAAGCATTGATGATATGAGAAATTTTCGTTGTTCAGCAACACATACTGTTCGTAAAATTTTTCTATTTTTATTTATCTATAAATTTTATTATATATCTAGGCCTTACATAGTGCTAGTAATCCAGGTATTCTAGCTCTTGATATATCACCAAAAAATTCCAGTATTATACTTACTGGTATGCATAAAATATTCAAATTGTATTAATAAATAAATATATTTATTTTTTTGTTTTAGGTGGTAATGATCGTCAAGCTGTTGTATTTAATAAAGATAGTGAACAAGTTATTGCAACACTAAAAGGTCATCAAAAAAAAGTTACACATGTTATTCATCATTTTGATGAAGTATGTATATAAATAGACAAAAATTAATTTAAAATATTAATTATTCTATTTTATTTCTAGGATATTGCAATAACAGGAAGTTCTGATTCAAGTATTCGTGTTTGGCATATTCCATCAGCACAATGTCTTAAAATTCTTAAAGCACATGATAATGCAATAACAGGTCTTTCATTACATCCAACTGGTGATTATGTTTTATCAAGTGCAAATGATACTTATTGGGCTTTATCAGATTTACGTACTGGAAAATTAATAACTAAAGTTCAAGATACAACTTCACAAAGAGGTATGCAAGAAAAACAAACAAAAAAATAATAATTTTATACTATTTCCAAATCTATGATTCGAATTTTGTTTGTGAAATTTATAGTTGAGAATTTATTCAAGAATTTTCGAAAGAATTGTGTTTAAGAGAATTTCTATTTGTGAGGTTTTTAAAGATCGGCTTCTAAAGACAAACATGTCATAGAAAATTGAGTTCACTTGCAAATTCATTTCGAATTAAACTCCTTCAATACTGTAAGAGTCGCTATTCATATCTTTGAACAACAATATTGAATCGAAAATCTAGTAAATTGGTCATAATTCGACAACAAAGATTTATGAGTTCAAACAGCTGGTGTCAGTAAGAGTAATTTTCTTGTAAGGGTACTCATCTTCCAACAAAATTTTCATATCTCTCTGCAGTCTAACTTATGTATTGAATTCGATCTCAAATATAGTTCATTCCTTACAATGGTTCTTTTATTGACTCACTTCGTAGAAGATCTTCTTGCTCTTTAATTTACAAGAAAAATCACTAGAATTCTGTTCGGAATCTATTAGTTTAATTGCTTCTGATCTGACATCCTTAATCGATTGAAAAATGAAAGAAATATTTTATTTATTTAGGATTAACATGTGCACAATTTCATCCTGATGGTATTATATTTGGTATTGGTACACAAGAAAGTTTAATTAAAATTTGGGATTTAAAAGAATGTAATAATGTTGCTGATTTTCCTGGTCATACCGGAAGTATTAATGCAATTGCATTTTCTGAAAATGGTAGAATATTGATTTTTTTGTTTGTTAAAAGAAGTACAAAAAATACAATTTGCTTTGTTTTTTTTTTTTCTTCAAAGGTTATTATTTGGCAACTGCAGCTCAAGATGCATCAATTAAATTATGGGATTTACGTAAATTAAAAAATTTTAAAACTATTACACTTGATGATCGTTATGAAGTATGTGATCTTGTTTTTGATCAAAGTGGAATGTATCTTGGTGTAGCTGGTACTGATATTCGGTAAATCAATAAATTTTATTTTATTTTAGTTTTAATATTGTTTTAATTTTATTTTTCACATAGAGTATATCAAGCAAAACAATGGGATTTACTTAACGTATTTAAGGATCATACAGCTTTAGCAACTGGTGTTCGATTTGGTTCAAATGCAAATTATATAGCAAGTTCAAGCATGGATCGTTCACTTAAATTCTATCAACAATTATCCCAAGAATAATTTTCAAAGAAAATTATTTCCTAAACTATGGATCTATGAGAATTTGTATTTGATTGATTGTTTGTTTGTTTGTTTGTTTTTCTTTTCTGTACTTATTAATGAAGAACAAAAAAAGAAAAAGATTAACAAAAATACATAAATGTTAATTATTAAATCAAGCAGATTTGAAGATATTTTTGACTTGTAAATTCAAGGATTGTTCTTCTTAGTAAATATTTACTCATATGCAATATCATGATTTATGGTACAAGATAAATACTGGTATATTATTAGACTATTATTAGAAAAAAAACTACCATCATTCTGTCTCTCTTTCATACATCAGAAAAAGGTTACTGTCTTTTATTTATCATTATATCATTTGTGGTTCTCATCGTGACATAAACAATGGATAAAATATGGCAAATCTTATGTGCAATTAATCGTTGTTTATTGGCCCGGTTTTAGTTGCATAGAAAATAAATTGTAATAGTGAAATATGGATACCATGTGTAAGATATCTTTGATATCTGAAACTGTCCTTAAGCATAGAAAAATATACATGGCTATGTTGATCCTATGATTATGCTTGTCAAGCAATTATATAAAGGCGGATGTGATTTTAATTCCGGTGTGTGTTCCTGGTTTGACATTGTCTGATTTCATTTATGCATTGACTTAATTAGAATAATTGAATTGAATTTTGACGTTGTTTTATTTTTGTTGAGACTCAAAATTTATACTTTCAGATCAACGAAATTTTTATCTGTTTTTATTAGACTATCTTATATAGTTCTTATTTTCTTAGGAAAAAGAAAAACAGATCTTTATGATGTGTATGCATTATCATATCATCTAGGTTGTCTATTAGGTTCTCTTTCTATGAAACTCTCTTGAGATATATTCAAGCAAAGATGTTACAATGATTTTTTTTCGTATTCCTTAAGGACAAACAGAAACTACTTTTTTTTTTTTCTTATTTCCGTTTTTTTTCTATTTCTACTCTTTTATCATCATTACTGCTTGACTGATTGGAGACAAAAATTATATGTGTGCAAGAGTCACTCTTTCTTTTATGAGTATCTATACTCGTATGATCTTTTGATATTCTATTTTGACATTGTCTTCATAGTTGATTGTTTTTTTTTTGTATTTTTTAAATAGAATGTTTGCTTCGCGAGCACTTTCAACAACACCAATTGGTCATCGATGTACACCATCAGCAAAATTTACTAGTACAAGAGATTTAAATCATGATAGAGGTAAATAATTTAAAAATTTTGCAATATTATTTTTGATCTTTAATTCTATAAAAAGATCGACAACGATCATATGAAATTGAAGATGAAAAACATCCTATACGAAGTTTAGCTTGTGCTTTTATATCTGCATTGTTTTGTCCTATTCTAGGTAAGTTATAGAATGAATAGCTATTAAATTTAAGATTTATTCGACGCAAATAATATCATTTATGTTTGATCTTTATTTAGGATTTATTGCTTTATTTTATGCTATACGTGCTGTACGAACACATAGTCAAGGATTTTATGCTGAAGCATCAATATTTTATAAAAAAGCTATTCGATGGTCATTAATAACATTTATAACCGGTCTTACAATTGGTTCCATAGTTTCATTTAGTTTTTTTGTCAAAGCTGTTCTGTTTATGTAATTTATTGAATATTTTTGTGAAGTTTGGTTTCAATCAATTTATATGTAAATAATTTACAACAGTCTAATTATGTATATTAAAACAATTTTGTCTATGGAAAAAAAAGAACAATGAAATATTGATTGTTAATTATTTCTTTGATAAATCGGTACTTTGAAGATATACACATATCTAAAAACCAGAGACTATTTGTGGAATTATTTCAATTGCATGTATCATGCAATCGAACATTGTTCATATATTAACTTCTTAAATAAAACTTCAATCATTTTGCTAATATATATTATAAAGTCAATACAATTGGTTTATATAAATTTTTTGCAATAACATCAATAGCATATGAATAAGTCATAGTTACATATACATTTTTCATGACCTATTGACTTTTATTACAGGTCAATGGAATTCAATGTACATCAATCTTCATCTATATATCAACAATAATACTAATATATGTCAGTGATTTGAGGTGAAAATTGATCTATTCTTTTTCTTTATTCTTTTATGTTTATTGAATTGGAAAAAAAAATAGAACATGACATTTAGATAAAGATTAATATAAAAAGCATAATTTGAACATCAATAGACATATACTTCATTAAAAATGTTATCTATTATTCTATTTCTATTCATTTCATTTGCAAATACACAATATAATTATCCTAAACAACAATATCTATTGAATAATTATAATTCCTGGCCATCTTATTTACCGAATTATCCAATATGGAATCAAGGAATACAAACAAGTAAATGCAAAAACAAAAGACATTAATTATTTATTAATTTATATCATTAAATTAATTTTTAGATCGAGCAAGTGTGCGAGGTAATCTTTTAAGTGATGATACATCTGTGTTACCATATGGATCACAAATAATTGTATCACTAGCAGATGTTTCTATTCAAGATGTAGCAGCTCGTCCCCTTAATACATTTGTTCTTTACGGATCATATCGTTTTCCTATTGCTTATGAAATTACGTATTCAATAGCACAGATACAAGCTAATATTAATAACAACATTCAACAATATGCTATTCAAGCTCGTATTGAAAAAGATGGTCAATTACTTTATATTAATGATCACTATACACCTGTCCGATTAATACCAGTTCCTGTCAATCCTATTAATGTTGTGATGAAAAAAGTTAGTCCATCAGTTTATCCAGGTAAATATATTTTTCTTGTTTGTTTTATTTCGTTTTATTTGAATAGGAAATAATGGTGGAATATATACGACGAGACCATCGATGATCAATGGTATTTATATTTGTCAAATGAGACCAGATCCTGGTCTTTGTTATGCAAGCATTGAACAATATTATTTTAATACTCAAGTACGTTCATGTCAAACTTTTATATGGGGTGGTTGTGGTGGTAATCAAAATCGTTTTTCATCTCGAGATGAATGTGAACGTGTATGTTCAGTATATCGACGACGAATTACCAATAATAATGCAAAACAAAAATGGAGTGGTTAACTTCATTATTTTCCTTTCATATACATAAATAAAAGTATATTGCTTTTTTTTTTGAAAAATTATTCTTTTAAAAAAAAAAGAATAAATTCAATGAGCACAATCAGATGCGTTGATAGCATAATATTTTTCTCTTACTATATTACTTATAGAACTCTTCATCATCATCATAGAATGACCTTGTCTATCTATGGAGTACATTCATTGTAAAGAAATAAAATTCTAATTATGAACGCGTTGATAAAAATGCACATATAGCTTTGTTTGTAAATACGATCAATTGCTTGTAGAACAGAGCAGCGAGCGAGGTTAGTTGATTTCTTTTGTTCTTCGTTCAAGTCAACTTTATATAGAATCGAAAAAACATTTGTGTATTCGGTACTAACTAATACTGAGTTACAGCATATTTTTCTATAGAAATTCAACAAAACTTATCCATATGACATTGAATCAAGATGTTTTTCTATGAGATGTTCGATTTTTCAGGGCTATTGATGATATATCAATGCTCTATTGAATAATCTGATAATAATTGCATATTTTTCATTATATCACTCAAAAATGAATACTTGATCATCAGTTTGTTACACATGTTCTATTCATTTTCAAGTTATTGGATTATTAAAAACGTTCATAAGAAATTCTTCTCATATTTTACATTTCCAGAAAAGTTTACTTCAATATAATTTTTATATAGTCTTGAGACAATATTTGAAAACGATTAACTAAAAACTCCAGAGAAATCCTATATATTATGACATAGTATATTAAAAAAAAAGTAATTACGACGTGTAGAATTCAAAACTACAGTATTTAAGATTGAAAATGTAAACGATAGATTTAGTTATTCGATTTTTAAAATGGAGTTACGTTTTCTATTATTATTGTCATCAACACATAGTTACCAACAATTATTTAATTATTAAATATAATTGATTAAAATAATTATTCATTTTTTACCATCAAACATAGCTTCGCTGGTCATACATACTTATTGTAAAGGCTCTTCCAAACTAAGCAATCATTCATGACCATCCAAAAGTACAAGCAATACTCACATAAACAGAGAAGATTCTCTGACTATCTTGAAGTGCTCATGATTATTCGTATCAATGTTTATGATTTCTTTGGGTGGTTGTATGGTTTGCAAGTCTTTTTACTGTATGAACTACATTAACAACAATAAAAAGTTTGGAAAGTTCATGTGTAACATTTATTGCATCGATTCCAGCTATGCTAATAAAATCATATGGAACCGACACTCTGACAACACCGATAGTAATTGTACTTTTTTTTATAGTAGTTCATATTAGGTTTTTAGTCTTATGTTAAATATTTATAATTACTACCTATAACTGAGGAAAATTACATTTAAATGTCCTTACTTAGCAACAAAATTCTACAGATACAAGCTTTTTCCCTGAAAAGTTGTGGCAAATGAAACATGTGTAACATATCAGTGAAACCACCTCTCAGAGCTTTCCAACTCTAATTAGCCATAATACATGTTTGAAGATGCTCAATAGTACGATTTCTGACTTTTGATGTAAAAAAAATAATTCATTGATCAAGTTACCACGATTGACATGAGACCGATAAACGTCTGTGTGTTTTAGACTTCATCTAAATACAGGATAATATGTGTTTATGCATGATATACAATGAACTGGAATACTTAGTAGAAGTTAATACGATAGTTACGACAACGAAAAGAATGATACGAAAAATAGTAGATTAAAAAAAAAAAATAATAGCCAATAATTAACTAACACATAGTAACAAGATAAATAAAATGATAAAGAAGAATGTGGGTGTCGGGAACGGGATGTGGGGTGTGCGTGCGTGATGTAGCAGATATGGATGTGGCTG